ATGGGTTATTTGATGTATATTATTATTAATTCCTTTGTGTTTCTCCTTTCAACAGTGATGGCTGATCCCATGGAGCATGCTACTGGGTTAGAGAAGCAGGAACTATTGTCTAAGGCTGCTGGTAACGAGGTAATTGTACCATTTATATGAAGCAAGGGAAGAATCTCTCAGGCTAGGCTGGATTTATATGCAGGAATCAGGTGTAGTTTGATTTTAAAAAAGCATCTGTTAACTTACGAGATTTTGTACAATTATGCAAATTAAACATAATTAAGCTTTACTGGTAAATGTTCATGTTTTACAAACATGTAAGCAAGAAATGCAGCTATTGGCTGATTACTTTTTAAAAATTCTTTGTATTAAATTTTCATTGTCTGTCATTTAGATAAATAGATGTACACATGCCTCCTTGTACAGATGTAGAGATTACATGCATAGATTTACTCAGACATAAATGTTGAATATAGTACTCATGTAACAAAGAGCCTGTAGACAAGATTATGTCCCCCTCCCCTATCTCAAAGGTTATATAGAGTAGAACAAGTCCTACCTGACTTCACCTATTTACCCCATTCATTTAAATTTGAAAGGAAGGGTTTTCATATTATGACATTATTAAGCCAATGTCACCAGAGATGGTATGTAAATATATTGCATGTCCACTGTGAATACCTTATAAAGGGGGAAAGGGGGATGTCACATAGACTATCAATTGCCTCCTTAGGGCTGAGCACTTTGACCCATCTGTGTATAAATGATTTACACAATTGAACTATAGTGAGTATTAAAAGTTCTCAGTGGCATTGAGTCAATAGCTTGATAATAATGATAGTGGTGATAATAAAGATGTTTAATAAGTAATAATAGAAACAAAACTTTTCTCTTAAATTCAAGAATGGGGTAAACAGATGGTATCTGGCAGGCATAGTAATTAGCTCCTAGATAATGAAGGTAGTTGATAAGCCATACATTAATAGAACAATACGGTAATGGCCAGTATACTTGTATCACGCACCAGTGGGTCAACTTTAACAAAATCATGTATTGATTTCAGAACCCCTTTGACATGAGGGTATACAAGCGCGTGAGTGGAGACCAGACCAACCCAACAAGTGTCCCCTCCTTCTACGAAAGGCGATTAGTCGGCTGCATTTGTGAAGAAGATGCTACTAGCATTAACTGGATGTGGCTGGAGAAGGGCGAGTCTAAGCGCTGTGAGTGCGGCTATTGGTTCCAGCTTGCAGATGCCAAGCCCATGGTTTAGGTTGAGCCAATAGTGACCCAGTGTTGTGTCCTTATCAATCTCAATTAAGTTGATTCCATGTAATATTTACAGGTGAGGTCACTATCATGATGTAGCATATTATTCCTGTTCCATGGGATATTTTTCTTGTACATAAACATTTTAAGTAAGTGAAATACATCAGAAACAGATTGTCATTTTGTTTTCATATGAATTCCAGAACTACACCATAATTGAAGCTCACTATTTATATATGTAGCAAAAGATGGAATATTAAACCAATTACAATACAGATTGATTTATATGTGTATATACATCCTTCTCTAGAAATGCTTTAAAATTTTACATTTTTGACACTGCAAATAACATGTTGCAGTGTAGCATTACCTCTATAATTGATACTAGTCCTAAAACTGCCAAGAACTTTTGAAGGCTGCTGCCACAGTGAAACAATTACAAAGCTATAAGATGAATAATCAGTAGGAAATGTACTGATTGTGCTGTTTCATAGCAAAATGATTGACAGCACTCTTTGGTAATTCTCAGGAAACAAATTGTCATCTCTAGGAATATATAGACTTGATTTTATAAATTGAAGATTTTGACACAATCATCTACACTAATTTATACTTGTTAGTTTCTCTCACTAAAGAAAGTTCAGAAATTTTGGCATATTAGCACAGAATGATTTGTAAAGTTAGCAAATACCCAGGATGAATTCCATTCTTTAGCTTTATATATCCCCAATCCCATGCCTGTTATCATCATGGGGAGGCATTAGAGATGGGAGCGAAGGCCCTATGTTGATCACCTCTCCCTTCTTTGTTTTCTCTCTCCCTCCCCTCACTTTTCCAACCTTATCTGTCCACTTCCTAAGATGTAGGATCTGTGTTGAAAGGGCAAACGGCTGTCTTTGTGTGTCCTGAACAGTCCTCTTTATCCCTCATAGAGGGACCATAAGGGGTAGACTTTTTCTCTTCCCCACATATTTCAGGCTCACAATGGCCAATAATGATTTTGTACCTTTATTAGTGGCATTGAGCTTGCTCCCCCTTCAACTATTCTATCTGAAATTAACTTCTCTGGTATCCTGACCCTGACTTTCCTTTCCTTTGCAAAGTGATTGCAGACATCCATCCATCCTGCTCATCATGTTCCCCTTCACCCCTTCCCTCCACTAACCTAAAGTACTGAATGTGTTGCTTGTTCAATCCTTAACCCCCCCCCCCCCTTGCTGCTTGTTGTCATAGGGGGCTTATGAGATGGAGACAGAAACCCTATGTAAGGGGTTATCCCTACCTTGAATCTCAGCCCTTGCCATACCTAATTTGCATGGTCTTTTCTTCTCCCCCTTTCTTTTTCCTTCTCCTTCTTCCCTTCTCCTGTTCACATCCTGAAGTGTGAGAGCTGTGCTGAAAGAATGAAAGGCTGGCTTTTTGTCAGTCCTGAATGGCCTTTGTACTCCATTTGATCATTCCTCTTTACCCTTTTTCATTACAACGCTAACGGAGAGCACTTCACAACTTTTGACATCTAACATACATACTTTGTCGTAATTGGCAACTCATTTTTAACCTTTTTGCCACAATACGTCTTCATAGTGCTTTCTGGCCTTTGATATCTGACCATGAACCAGTCTGGGAACCCACAAACATCACCATATGAACCAAAAATTTCTTTACCGGAGTGGGAGGGGTTTCGTCAATAAGCTTATTTTGAATTAGTTGCTAATGACCTTAAATGTTGACATGACAGAAGTTTTTCAATAGATAAATAAATGAATTATGTATGTTACTGCAGATGCATGATCATCATTATCTTTCATTTAATATCACCCCCCCCCCACTTCTAATGTTAGAATTGTGTCAACACACAGCTGAGTAGGTTGGTGCCTCTTACTGACATAAGTACCTATAGTGGAGCTTGAGTCATATCACCAGTAGTGAAATGTCACTGCCAGACCTCAAAATTACATAATAACCTGTGGGTGCAGGAATGTCAGTTCTATTAGATATCAGAGTAACCTGAACAAAGTAATCATTGCCATTGAAAATGGAGAGAGGGAGAGCAAAGGGGAGAAGGACCAAAGAGGGAGAGAGGGAGGAGATGGTGTTTATTCACAAGTGGAATAAGGCAGACAACAATAGAGGCACTCATATGACTAGAAGACAGTTGGAATTATCAAGGGAAGGGGAGTATTGGTAGGGATTTTACATGCCTTACACTATGGGAAAATCTTATTTTATGCAATACTCATTGACAAGAAAGAGAGAGGCAAGAATAAAACATGGTTTGCACAGGGAGATGAAGGGGTAGAAAAGGTGGGTTTGGAGGTTTGTATCTGGAAGAATCATCCAAAGCATTAACAGAATTATTGCAGAAAAATAGTCTACCTGTTTTTTGAGAGGCTTTGCTCTGTGGCTGCTCATATTACTGTTTTCTTCACAAAGCCACCATTGTGGCTAGTTAGTTGATTATGCCCTACTTCTTTCATATCCTATTTGATTTATCTGCCCCCCCCCCCTTTTTTTTCTTACCCACTCCCTCTCCTTGTTTGACTTCAAGCTTTTCTTTTTTATTTTTTACATACTTTCTCTCACTTTCCCTTGTTTTCTCTTCTCATTCAGATTCTCAAATGAATGAAAGCAAATGCTCTAGTAGGTTAAACACTCTAGTAGTTATAAACCAATGACATCATTGTCATAACTTGGGAGGGATTGTTACTGGGAAAAAAAAAAAAAAAAAAAAAAAAAAACTGAAAAAAATTACAAAATATCACAAATTGTTGGGATCAAACAAGGAGGCCGAGCTAATGACATCACCACATTTAGCCAATGAAAGTGAGATATATATATATATGATGTAGCTTTTTTAGTAAATTTCTAAATATGAGTGCATCATGTATGATGAAGTAATACTTGGGCCTCAAAATATATAATCCAGCATAAGAAAGGCAGACACATGTGGCATGAAAATTGTTCATTATGGATTGGAATGAAGGGAGTCCTGTACCATGTTTAGTGGTAACCAGTCTAGAATTAGTACAATGAATATAATTATATTTCACAATACATTACCAAAATGCAAAACAATATGAGAATTGACAATTTTATATCTTACCTGGTAAATGTAAGAAAGTATGTTCAAGGATGAAAGATGTGGAAAATGCATATACCTCAAAATAGTCATTTGGCCAGTGTTTGACTAGAGTTTCCTTGAACTTGCACTACCTTGACTGTGCCAATGTCTGTCTCATTCAAAACTCAGTGTAGCAAACAAGCAACCCCCCTCCCCCACCCTCAAAAAAACAACAGCAACAACAAACAACAACAACTTCCTGTACTTTTCTTCACATTCCATTCTAACTTTTCTTTCTCCACCAAGCTGAATTGCCATCCATTTGTATTTAGGAAGATATTGAATTAAATATATTTACATATTGTCTGTACATGTGAAATGAAAAATATATTGCCTGAAATAATTAATGTGTGCATATCATGGTTATATATCCCTTTTTGATGGTCTCACCTACAGCAGCCATGATGTAATGCATATGACATAAATGTCATGACTCGCTCCAGCGAGCAAGCAGGTGGACTGGTTTTACCCAGCACAGGCCAAGCTAGATAGAAATGACTTGTGTAATGATTGTCAGAAAATTCTGGCCCCATCATGTTAGGGATTAACAGGCTTTCATACTATTAATTTTTACAGTTTCCATTTTGATTGAAAAAAGTATTATTTATATTTATTTTTTTTTTTTTTTTTGTAAAAATAAAAAAAATCCTTTGCTAAAACAATATATACATATATATCTTGCTCAATAGAAAACACTACAAATTTTATCTAATAACTATAGGACTAAAAAATACATAAATGGATGATATATGGCCTTTTTCACCACAGCAGTGTTTCTGGTAAGACCTTTGAAGTAAAATTACATTGAAGTGCTTAATTTTCTCTTTTTTCTGTCAGGAGAATCCATTGTCAATGGAGTACTTGCATCAGCCATAAAGGGAGTTATATCACGAATGCCAGCTTTCGTTATCTGGAAAGAAAAAAATTATTTTAAAATCTTTAATACTGTGAGGAAAAAAAGAATAGGGGGATTTAAGGAATTGTTAAACCACTGAGACCTGGTTAGCAAGCATACATGTCCTTTAGTAACCCTTTAGATCCAGGGTGACCTGACCTTCAAATCATGGAAATGTTTGGCTTGAGGGCCAGGTGATGTGAACATGCCATGGAAAAATTTGGCTGAGGCAGAGGTGCTGGAGATAATCAGTCAAGAGAATTTCAGCTGGAGACTGGGGTGAAAGGAATGACTCACCATGAGGAAGGGGCTCTTGCATTATTCCTGTCAATAGACAAATGTGGAATTTACCATCCGTGAGCTATGACTGGAATGGTGCAAGCTCTAGTGAGGACAACACTATTTCCATACTCAGCATCTTATTGCCTTGACTGGCAGCACAGAGTGTAATACAGAAAAATCTTATATTAAGAGACAAAGGTAGGATTGATACACAAAATATTACCCTTTGTTATTAATATAGCACTAAGTTATGAATAACCTAGAGATGAAATGGAGACTACGCAAGGAAAAGTGTCTATTACCAGTCTGGATACAGCATATCAAAAAAATAAAGACACTGGAAAATTGAGAGAGAGAGAGAGAACATTGGAAAGGGGAGAGAAAAGGATTCTTGACACCATATATGAATGTTTATGTATGGCTGGCCTAAAAGCCACACATCTGTGAATCACCACTCAGGTAAGCCTACTGCCTAGAATTTGGGCCACTTGCAAGCAGTGAAACACCCAGATCAAATGTGTTAACACAAAAATGGTACTATAAGGGCTTGGTCACCACTAAATCAACTACTAGGCTTACCTGATGTCATTTGTTTAGCGCTGCACTACTTTTCAGGGAGAGTAGTTTTCAATATAATTTTATCTTCAACATTTTCAATTACAATTTGAGTAAAAAAAACTCATATGATTGTAAATGGGAGCAAAATGGAGGAATGGCATTGGTAAGCAGTAATATGCTTCCCCCACCCCCTCCCCACACACACACACACATATCTCTCACACTTATTTTTATTCTCTTGCTCTTTCTCTTCAACATTTTTTCTTTTTTTCTTCACTTTTTCAATTACAAAGTACCAGGAAATTCAGACAACTGTTAATAGTACAAAATGGAGAAATGGTGGGAAGTGGTACTATCGCAACACCACATACTCACACTCACATTCACACTCAGTCACTCACTCTGCCACTGACAATAAATTCTCCTTCACTCGACTCATTCACACTCACTCTCATTCTCTCTCTTAACTCTCTCCCTAGACATGAAGGCTATAAGATTCATAAACAATTATATGAGATGCTCAAACATTTCTTTCCTTGTCTAACTTGATAAAGTTTTCATAACAACACTATTAGTAATTTTCTTCGGAATTATGTCTAAGTATTGTATATTTATTTAGCCATTCTAGTTGTAATCCCATAGATCTATGTCACATTGCTTTGAATATAGAATCCATAAGCATACCAGTAAGTCAATAAGAATGGGAATAATACTAAACGGAGGCGATCAAAACAAAACAATATTAATCCTCTTCACGTACCTGGTACTGAATAGAAGCATTATTCCTGTGTGGGGCCTTTGTGAGAGAAGCAACTCGCACTCGTCCTGACCAGTGTAGAGTGAGTCTCATGGTTGGACAGTGACCCCAAGTCTCCCCTAGGGCAGCTACCAACTGAGATCCACCACTTTCTATTCTTGTGGTCATTTGGTTTTGTGACAATTACCTGTAACAAACAAGGTGAATATATCCATGCTGTAAATAACTGAATCTCTTCCTTTTTTAATCATATGTAATGTACCAAATTGTTGCATGGGATTTAATTTCTCTGAACCTGTAGTTTAAGTGAATTAAAATATACTATAAATGTAAATAGTTTACAATATGACAGGAAGGATTAAAATACATCAAAAGCATGCATGTGAAAGGGATCAGATAATTAAAGTATTAAAGCATATTCCTTACAAAAATGAAACTAACACATACAGCCATATTATATTTGGTAGCCTGCTGTATCAGTTGCTGTGTTATCCTGCACAGAAGACCTGTTCGGGCCATCATGTCTGGGAAGTCATGACGGAAATGGAAGGCAATGGAGTCAATGACAAAAAGCTTCAGTTTTGGGTGTGACTGAAGGAAGACCGGCAGGTGACGTATCACAGCAAG